GAGAGAGGAGGAGGGGCGGGGGAGAGGCAAAGCTCGACGTTCATCCGACGTAATCCGACTGCACGGCCATCCTCGGAGATAGAGGCGCAAACACAGAGAGTATATCCTCGGGATATGAATATATGTCTCTATATTTTCGGCCTCCGTTTCCTCCCGTCTTTTATCCAAAAAACCAAAGTATCTTGTGCGGGGGTCAGAGCATCAGCATGCAATCTACACTGATAGAATGATTCATTTATTCCGAACGAGATTCGTTAACTATTAACGAATGGTAGAGTTGAATAGTTATTCGTTAATAGTTAACGAATGGTTCACTTGAATGGCGAAAGTCAAGTCTCCTCAAATATATATTCGTTAAATATTAATGAATGAACATTTGGTGAGACCGAATAGACCCTAACCTCCAACCAAAATCCATTCGTTCAAAACAACTAGTCCGTTCTATCGGTGTATTGTTCTCCCTCTGGTTATTCATTTTGCGCCAGAATTATCGACCAGACTGACCTTATCGCGGGATCTGTGCCTATTTCAGGATCACTCGTTGTTTGCATGTGGAAAGGAATTTATTTTTTGACATTTGTTGTCTGTCGATTTGGCGGATTCTATTACCAGACGAGTTAATTTGGGTGATAGCGCGAGGGTTTTAGTTTGAGAACATGATACTCCATCCCCTCAACCCCGTCTGTTACTAATTGCAGACGGTTCATGTTTTGTAACGTGTGAACCGCGGCTGGGGATGCCGCGAGAGATTTTATGTGACAATCGGGGAGGGGAGGGCATAGCGGACCGCAGGGTAAGACAGACCCCTTGGGAAATACGGACCACTGACAGAAAATTGGTAATTTTTGTGTTTAATTCCGAATGGAAGCAAAAACAACAATTTAAAATCATTTGTGGTTTGAGGTGAGCAAATCTGATCAAATTGCGGTTCAACGACACTTGTTGTCTATAAAACCCCTGTGATGGTTACGATCCAAAAAATTCACGTTCAATTCAACACATTCAGTGTTCCTGATTTAAAGGAAAGGAAAAAGAAACAAAAATTACCAATTTTCTGTCTGTGGTCCGTTTTGCCTTACCCTCCCCTACTTTGGAGAGATGGTCTCGGTCTGAATTAACGTGGAATTTTTTGGACTCGTCTTAGTCTCCAAATACGCAGTATTGACTCCTGTCGTGATGACTCAAAGTCAATTAGTTTCATCTCGGTCACAAGTTTTTTGCGTTTTTTAAAGGGGAAGCTACTAGGAGCTTTAAAAGTCGCGGGCAACTTGGAGTGAGATTTCTCATGCATTGAAGATCGATTATATATATCTGAAAACGAATAATTAGTGCAAAAAATCAATTGTTTTTGGTCGTTTACTGCTCACACGCTTAAAATGTTAAAAAAAAGTCCGGGGCTATAATTTTTGAGTTACAGAGGTGTTTTTTTTCAAAATTTAAAACATTATTCATCTTTAGACATATATAATCGATCTTCAATGTGTGAGACATCTCATTCCAATGGCTCGCGACTTTTAAAACTCGTAGTAGTCCCCTTAATGTAAAATCTCGATTTTTGTCTCGGTTTTTTAGACTAAGATGAGACCAAAAATTTCCGTGTTCACTGAGACCGAGACAATCCCTCCGAAGTATCGTCTCGTGATGTCTCCTTAAGTCTCTCGCGGCATTACCCACAGCGTCCGAAAATACCCGCAGGAAAGCACATGAGAAATTTCCCCCCAAAACTTGAAAAATAAATCACGAGTAAAGTGTCCACCGGGGGAATAGGAGAGTAGTTCCCATGATAAACCCACATTCCCGCCCCCTCAATTTTCTTAAAGGAGCAGAAAGGGCGTTATGTTTTATTTCATTCAATTCACTGAAGTGTAACGACCAAAATTCGTCTTACTTGTTTCTCCTGCCCTCTGCCTTTGTTCAATTTCCGGGTTCATCGTTTCTTCGAATCGAAAGTTTTCTCGTTACCCACAGAGTCGGTAAGGTATTGAGGAGCCCCTGAAAAATGAGAAGAAAGAAACAAGGGGGAGAATGAAGCCCACAGTGAGTCTCCTGATTCCGTGTGTGTGTGAGTGGGTATGTGTAAATATGAAAATAGGTGCGTGGAGAGAAATTTTTGATAAAAATTATCTTACCGGTCTATAAAAGTGTATCATGGGTCATCGTTGCCTCATTTCTATCCCGAAATTTAGTATAAATTAATATATAATGACCAAATTTTATTCTACGTTAGAGAAATTTTATCCTGATAAAAATAAAAATTACCGTGGCGGTAGAGTAAAAATTACTGTAGCGGTAAAATTCACCAACCGTTCTAGAATTTTCGTTATCTACATAAAAATCATTGGACTGGAAGGGTAAAATTTATTATGCGTCAGGATAAAATTTCTCTAACGTAGAATAAAATGTGATCATCACATATCAATTCAGTAGTGAAGCGGTAAACCGAGTTAAGTCGATTTTGACTATTAGCCAGTTTTTGCTGAATATCTCGGAATCTAAGAGAGATAGCAAAATTTTTCTCATGACTTTTTTTATAACGCTCTATTGGCTCTACAAAAAAGATCATGACAAAAATCTTTCTATCTCTTTTAGATTCCGAGATATTCGTCAAAAACTACCCAATAGTAAAAAACGACTTAACCCGGTTTACCGCTTCGCTACTGAATTTTTACTAAATTTCGGGATAGAAATAAGGAAACAATGACTCATGATACACTTTTACAGAACGGTACACTGAGAGAAAAACAAACCCGTTGTCAAACAAATCGTGTTTGGACCAACAAAATCACTAGTTGAAAATTGCCAGAAAAGAATTGGTTTGGTTTGAAAGTCTAAAACACGAATAATTGTTCTGCTTTCGACAGCAACGAAATATTTCGCGCAAGAGACGGATAATTCACACCAGACGGTGTCTTTTCAGGATGAAAATATCTCATATAGAGGAAAATTTATCAACAAATATTTTATCCAAGTTACAAAATTGCTATCATATCATTATTATCGTTTCATTTAAGGGTTCATTTGTTGTCTGTGATTATTAGACAACCGAAACGAAAAACTTCTATCCTTTGTGTCGCATAAAATAAAGATTTTTCGGGA